GAAGAGCATGTTAAGCAGGGCAAGATTGACCTTTATTAAGGAAACATATTGGCCTAGGACATGACTACTTGCCATGAGCTGCTTGTAGTTAATAATTTTTAATTTTAGAGCATCTTTTGTGTTTACTTTAATTCTCTGAGTTTGTAAGGCTGCCTAGCAGGCCTCCCCTGAACTGGCCATGTTAATATGTGGCCCCTTTCCTTCCATCCACACTGTCTTATCAAATTTCGTTTGAGTGCGTAGTCAATTTTGGTTGTTGTGTTTCTGTTTTCTCCTCTACAAATTGGAGATAATACCAACTAGTGCCTGGCATTGTTGGAGGCAATAGAGTTGCAATAAACTGTCAATAAAGGTTTGAAAAAATATAAAGAACTGTAAATATAAAAATAAATGAGATATAGTGTTATCTTGAATAGTACACAATAAATGTCTGAAAATGTTGTTTAAATCCTAGGACCTGGTATAAATTCTTAACGTACCAGTCACCTAATTAATCCTGCGCATTCCAGCATACTTTGTTATTATTTAAAAAATTAATACTTGAGTCAATTTGGCTAATATTTCTTAGAATTTTGTTAGAGATATCTTTTTGGAGAAGTTACACAATTACTTCCTCAGGTGTCTTTTCACTAATAATTCTATAGTGCATTTTTATCTGACTTCATTTTGTTCTGGGGTTTTTTTCATTGTACTGTGTTTAAAGGGGAAACCTGAAATTTCTTGGCTATTGTTTTGTTTACACTCTTACTTTCAGAATATGTTATCTTATTCTGAATATGTTATCTTACATCCAGTTTCAATTCCTGTTATGTTGATTATATTTAAAAATCTGACTTAGAAATTCTAAGATTTTATATATTTTAGTATTTTGACAAAATCAATTTATCCAATACATTGAAGTACTTAATTTAGATATATATTGTCATGAAAAAGTTATATTTAAGGGGTAGTTGTATGTGTTTGTTTTTACTTTGGTCTTTTAGTTCCAGTGTGTTGTCCTTTTGGTTTTGTTTTATTGCTTTTTTCTTTAATTTTGCTTACCAGAGCCAAAGCCTTAGTAGAAGAACAACGCCTTTTGTTCCTAGGGTTCAGGTAAAGGCCTTGTCTGCCTGATAGAGACTAAAGTTGTGTCCTAACCCTTATTTGTATGCTTTTGGAAAATGCGTAGTAGGTAAACTTTTTTTGGTATGTTGCCCCAAGCCATATAATTGACTTTCAGATCATTTTATGAGCCAACTTGTAGAATTCTGCATGGGGATTAAAATAAAATAAAAATTTAAAGAGACAATTTTTGTTAGTGATTTTATATGATGAACTGAATACCAAAACTCATAGTGGTATTTAATGTAATTTCTACCTATATGTGTAGCATTGGAAGAAATAACTAATTTTATACTCTCGATACTTGCTTTTATTATTCACAGTTGCTGTCTCTTTAAATCATTCATTATATCACTTAACATCTACATTTGTTTGCATTTTCCAAGCAATATCTCCTTGAGGAGATTGGCAAATAAATTTGTACCTTATCTAAAACATGGATTTTATGCATATTATGTATAAGGATCAACATTTCAAAAGTATATTACTTTGAAAAAAATCAAAATTCAAATAAAATGGGTTTTTTGTTTACATTTTTAAATTATAATTTCATTTCATTTTACTGTAGTAATTGGGTACAAGTTGTTTGCCTCTTTTCATTAGGAAACCTTTATATGATAATGCCAATCTAGTTTGTTTAAAAGTAGTAGTATTGCTTTCCTTGCTTTGCTGCATGTTTTTTTCTCGGTTTTGAATAATACTAATTTAGTTGAATTTTAAAAATTAAACTTGTTCTAGTTAATATTACATAGTGTAAAATACTTGTGCTGCTCAGGTTCTGCTTAGGAGATTTAAAAAGTGGTTACATGGTGCAGCTGGAATGATAGTTCTCTTCAGACAATTAAAATGATACCAAGATTTTTATTAATGAAAATGAGGTAAATGTAAGGAAGTATGTCATATCTAGAATTGTGAAATGCATTTGTTATGTTTTAGGGGACCAACAGATATATTAACTATTCATTTTAAAAGCATAGACAAACAATTTTGAAATGTAATGAAACAGCTAATAAAATGATTATGCTTTGATAATATGAGCTGGATATCTGTTAAAAACTTCAATGGAAGTCTGTGATATAAAATGAAAATTGGAGTTATTGATCAGATGCCCAATTTAAGAGAGTTTATTAAAAAGTATAATTTTGATAAAAAGTTAAAATAAAAGTATTCCTATATATCTCTATATTTTATATCTATATTTTGACATTTACATATTTATAAAGTATAACTTAATAAACTATTAAAGTATTATGAAAATATGAAAGCCATGTGCCTAATATCTTTGTATAAGAAATGAATATTATTAATAAGTGATATTTTTGGTTTTTCATGGCATAAAAATACCTCAAAACAATACTCCTTATTGTATATTTGAAATATATTTATGGTATATCTCAAATATTTTGCTGTAATGATTTCAAAAGAGTAAACATATTGCCTGTGGAGATAACTAATTACAAGTGCTTAGTCTTATCCCTTAAAAAAAAAACTCACAGAAATCAATAATTTTCTTTATTAATTATAGCTTAGTCAAATAATGAGCAATGTTTCTTTATTTAACTATAAATTTTAATGGAAAAAACTTTTAGCCTTTTACATACTTTTCTCTTTGAGGTGTCTAATAATTGTATTTTTCATATCATGGAACAATAAGCTTTTTTATTTCTGTAGACAATAGAGAATATCAGAAATTACTCTGGTTCTGATCACACTTTTTAGAGAACCCATGATGCATGTTGTATGACAACTCTGTTTTATCTCATGTATAAGATACTCTTGTATTTCTTACCTTTTGGTTTTGTTTCCCCCTTTTGTCTTTTGCCAGAATAGTTCAGTCCCTTTTTTCCCCATTTACCCTCAACTGTATCTATACTAAATATTGTTAGTCAAGCAAATACTTGAACTTTTTTCTCCATTCAGATATAAGAGCCTTTTTTTTTTTAAGGTTGATCCCCTAATCTAAGGCCATGCTTCTCAAACTATAATGCCCGTGACAGTCACCTGGAGGACTTTGGTAAAAGGGTAATTCCTGCCTTGGCTGGTGTGGCTCAGTGCATTGAATGCCAGCCTGAGAACCAGAAGGTCGCTGGTTTATTCCCAGTCACAACACGTGTCTGGGTTGCAGGCCAAGTCCCCAGTTTGGAGCATGGAAGAGGCAACTGATTGATGTGTGTCTCTCACACATCGATTTTTCTCTCCCTTTCTTTCTCCCTCCCTTTCCCTCTGTCTAAAGATAAACAAATAAAGTCTTTAAAAAATTAAAACAGTAATTCTTGGACCCTATTCTGATTCAGTAGGTGAGAGCTAGGCCCCAGGAATTTTTAGCTTCTTCACACTGATGCAGGAGGTTTGTGAACAACAGACATTAGTAGTCTGTTTTAACTGAGTAGCTTTATTAGGAAAATGTTTTGTTACACAATGGCAAGATAATACCTGCATTAAACATAAAGACTTACAACAAAATGAGTAGTGATTATAATTTTAAAAGTTTAAATATTTCTTACTGTTGTTCTATAAGAGGGCTAATTCCATTTGACAAAAAAAGAAAAGCACATAAATAATTTTATATACTCTTCTGGACCATCAGTCTTCCTCTTCTCTTGCTCAGCTTCTCGTTCTCTAAAATACAAAGTCAGGGACTCAACAAAGCCCTGTTGTCCTGGCCTGGACCTGCCTGTCCTCATTGGGGAAGAGAGGGAAGGACTGACATGAGATGTATATTTAAACTTTTTACCTTTTTTATTGAATTTATGTGGGTACCATTGGTTAATATAATTATATAGCTTTCAGGTGTACAGTTTTATAATATATTGTCTGTATATTGTATTGTGTGTTCACCACCCCTAATCAAGTCTCCTTCTACCACCATTTATATTCCCATACCCCCTTCTGCCTTCAAAGTAATTTGCAAACATTGTTTATTCAGATTAAAGGGAAAATTAAATCATTAACATGTATATACATATATACCATAAAAATATAAACCATAAAATACATGTTCTACAAATGCAAATTTTAAATTTTGATTCAATTTCAATTTCAAGATAGTAGTCAGCTGAGTTCTGAACCAACCTGTGGGTCAGAGTCACAGCTACCAGAGATCCTGACACAGTCCCATCAGCTAGAGAGGGTGGGCGTGCGAAGTGTGTGTGCAGGCGGTGACCTTTATAAATCAGATGAATTCAGCAGCTGGATGTGATGTTTCAGTTTCTAATCATGGCATAGGGAAAGTTGTTCACATTTTCCCGTCTCAACTTATAAATACATACCCTCCTTACTGTAAGACTGTGATACATTTGCATCACAAACATCAAAAAAGAGTTTATATCTATTCAAGAAATGTAAAAATAGGAATTTATTATAGTTTTAAATAGAAACATAAGGATTTTATTAACTAAAGTTACTAGTAAATCCCCATTGCTTTTAATCTTTGAAATGTCTTCTGCTGTGGAATTACATAAAACATTTCCTTCTGAATTCCCTATGAATGCCATATAAACAAGTTACTATCTGTTCAGTTCATTTTGAGCATTTATTTTGAACTCATTATTGTAGAAGGGCCAAAATGAACTACAGTGATTTTTGCATAAAGATAAAGGAAGCAATCATGTATAGAAAAGATTCATTGTGGTAGTATAATTATTATGTTCATATTAATAAGCAATCAAATTAGGATAATAAAAGTCCAAGTGATATATCAAATGAAATATTTGAATTAATTCCTCTATTCATTGAAGTTATTAAAGCATATCCATTTGTTTGAACTAAATGCAATTTACTAAGTGAAATTTACATTCTTGCTAGTATCAGTGTAAGAGATGTGAATGATGATTGGAATCTAAAAATTATGTTATGGTAATAAATGGTTGAGCTGATAAATGAATATTTTTGCTTTTCAGATAAAACTATGGTTTGACAAGGTTGGTCACCAGTTAATAGTTACAATTTTGGGAGCAAAGGATCTCCCTTCCAGGGAAGATGGGAGGCCAAGGAATCCTTATGTTAAAATTTACTTTCTTCCAGACAGAAGGTAGGGATGTAAGACAAAAATAAATGTATTTGGAAATAAGTCAGAAATGTTAATAGCAATGGGTATTTTGATTCTGTATTATTTATTTTTATCATACCTGTCATACATTTATAAAGTTTAACACAAATACAATATTTTTAGGAATCAAAATAGTGACAGTAAATAGATTGTTTTTAATATATCAGATGTTCATAATACATCATTTTCTTGCATATTTATTAGGTTGCATGGATCATTATATCTTAAATAATGTATGTTTCTACATATCAAAATTATTTAAAATTATCCTCCTTTAAATGTATTTTTAACACAAACTACAGAGGCAAATACTAGAAATGGTAGTAACAGGTACTCATCACATTCCTGTACAATTCCTATCTTCTTTTCCTAAGACATTATTTCTTTAAATTCTGTAAAATTAATGCATGTACTCTTTATTTTATTGCTCCATATCATCAAGGAAATTTATCATTGGGTCCAGAATCTGCTTCTTCAAGATATTTTTTTGTGTCCTTGCTATCAAAATAAGTATTTTTGTTGTATTCCAATTTAAATAAAAATTTGGAGTAAATTTTTTATGTAAAAAATTAAATAGGGATGGAGAAATAACTTAGCAAAAATTATCTAATCACTCAGTTTCAGGCACATAAAAATAAAAGACATTATTTGATAGCATCATGAAAAAAGAAGGAAGTAATGTCTGCAACTGCCCTTTCCAGCTATTCTGCATCCCTAGCTGTCAGGGCTGGGTGTTCTCAGGTCTGGTCATTTTTTTCTCAGGTTGGAAGTGGCTGGGGCACAATATGATAGTACATATGTTCATTACACTTATGTACCCTTTACTACTTAGTTTAAGTTAAAGTCATCCAGGTTAAGTTGAGTGCCAAAGTATCATTTGAAGAACAATTTCAGCAAAAAAAAGGGGGGGAGAAAAGGAAAGGAAAGAAAGATAGTTATCAAAGACCTTCGATTTTATTTGGTACACATTTTGAAGTGGAAGTTGCACTAGAAAATGTCAAGGTGGCACAGCCTCTAAAGTTATTAGAAACCATTTACTATATAATTTTATTTTACAAAGTTTGCTTGAAGACAGTTGTTCTCTAACAATTTAAGTTGTCTTTTAGACAGGGATACACTTTGTACTGTGAGGAGGGAAGAGGACATCCATGTCTAGACTGATAACTCTTGCTTAAAAGTTCAGTTTGCCTTATTAAATTGTAATCATATATGGTGGGTTTGAAAAGAACTTCAAATATGTCTAGTCTCCCTCCCATCCAGTGTAGAAATCCCTTCTAAAATAATTATTCTCTGAGAGCTTTTTTCACTTTATAGGAGAAAGTCAAGATTTTTCTTCTACTCCCTCTTAGATTGAGGTACAAACCATTCTTGAATTAGATAACAAGGACCCACTAAGCACTTGCTTTCTGGCTTAATGGAAAGAAATTTGTCTCTTGACAGGGTCTCAAATTCTTTTTTAATGGATGGAATATAGGTAGATGCTTTACAAATATTAGTTAAAATTTTAGAAGTGGGGTGAGAGAAAAGTCATAAATAATAGTTCTATTACTTCTATGATTTTGTTAATTATTTTTATTTATAATACCAGTTCTCTTCCATGAAATTGAATAGAGATAAAATCTACATGGCCTTTCTTTCCAAGGCCTTAAAAATTAATAAAGATACATTGTTTTAAGGTGGCTCTCTGCTCCATTAAATATATAAGCTCTGGAAACAAGTTGCTTTTGATTAAGTCAGATTTACATTGAACATTAAGCCCTGTGTTTACCTTGGAAAAGTTACTTAGCTCCCATTTCAGAGACATTCCGTCCCTTCTTAGTTCTCCCTGCTTTCGCTCTCCCAGCACTGTCAGCGCTGTGCTGGGCTGGGAGAGTTTGAAGCAGTTTGACTGGGAGTTCATCGTCCACCTCTTGCATCGAATAGGCTGTCTAGGTAACTTAATCAAATTTCCTTCATGGATGATTTTCTTTATTACTATTCAGTCATTCATCTTAATGAGCTGGAGTAGTGAGCTGCAAAAAGAATGAATGTACCCAGGGATGTGTAAGACAATCCCCTGGTGTTCAAGAGGAAATATTTGAATTTTTATTTATTTTATCTCATTATTTTAATTTCTATTTTATATATTTATAAATGTATGCAATATTTAGTACAACAGTATAGTCATACATGCCTGTAATTCATAAATATATGTGCATATAATGGGATACATAATTTAAAATATTCACTTATAGGTATAAAAAGCAGGGTAGCCTTGGAGGTGTAAATCCCACCCAGAAGGAAGTCCAGCTTCCATTTGTAGCTCACATTTAGTAGCCAACTCACATAGAAATTGTTTTATGGTGCTTTAAAAGAACTGATAAATGTCAAATAGGCAAGTATATACTTCTTGTACGTTAGAAAGTAACTTGATAGAATGTAATTATAATTGCTCATTAGCTAAACTATATGAATGTGAAGTTGTGAACATCACAATACACTAAATTTTTTGTACAATAAGACTTCTGTAGTATAAGTGAATAATATATGTAATGTTATTGGTTAATTAGCCTTTGGAAGGTTTCCAGTAAGGCAGTATATTAAAAAAAAATTAGAAATAAATATTTCTATAATCTGCTTTTATTTAGATTTTGAGAAGATTAAGTTTTTAATTATCTACAAAATTTTCAGACTTATTGAACTATTGCTATTAAGTCATACATATAACATGATATAATTATACAATTTATACATTTTAATAGTAATTTTAAAGATTATAATATTTTAATGTATGATAAATTTGAGGCAGAAATTCACTTGACCCTTTTCCTGAGAAATTTCACATTAATAATTTTATGGCAAATTTAAAATAAAGGTTTACATAAGTTAGTATATTCTAATTTTTTTCCTAGTGATAAAAATAAGAGAAGAACTAAAACTGTAAAGAAAACACTGGAACCCAAATGGAACCAAACGTTCATTTATTCTCCAGTCCACCGAAGAGAATTTCGGGAACGAATGCTGGAAATTACCCTTTGGGATCAAGCTCGAGTTCGAGAGGAAGAAAGTGAATTCTTAGGAGAGGTATCTGAAATTACTTTAAATTTTAAAATTTTTTTTAATTTTTAAAGATTTTATTTATTTATCTTTAGAGGGGAAAGGAAGGAGAGAGGGAGAGAAACATCAATGTATGGTTGCCTTTCATGCGTCCCCTGCTGGGAACTAGCCTGCAGGGAACCTGCCTGCGACCCCGGTATGTGCCCTGACTGGGATCGAACCGCAATTGCCTGGTTCGCAGCCCCGCGCTCAATCCACTGAGCTACACCAGCCAGGGCCTGGAATTACTTTAAAGCTTAGGCTGTTCGCGTCATCCTGAATACATTCGCGTATATGACTGTCAGTGACACTTCTGTTTTGAATATCTGAAAAGTAAACATAATTTCTCTAATGGAATGAATTTAGCTACTGCTTTAAGATAAAACTTACAATGTCATAAAAAACAGTTGTCACTCTGTGATAATTTTTGCATTTATTCTTATTGTAAAGGTCTCCTGGTTGAGTAAGATGTAGGTTTGTATTTTGCTAAGTTGCTGTTTTATAATGTGGGCATATCATAAGTTTACTGAACCAACTGTACTACTTTTAGCTCAATCATTTATTCCTGTATTTTTAAGCCTTTTATTATACCCATAATATGCTAGGGACTGATGCTTCAAAGGTGAATACAGCATGTTACTTCCTTCAAGGAATTTGTAGTCCACTGGGGATGCAGACGAGTGACTAGGCACTTGGAACGTAGTATGCAGGTGCTGTTACAGGGTAATGCAATAGGAATACATATTTGCTCCACAGAGAAAGCAGAATTTAGCAAAGTCAAGGGGAGTGAAATTTCTGTAGAAGACATAAGACATTAGAGTTGAAAGGCTCTTGGACAACTGTTTTGAAATTGGAAGAGAGAGTGGTAAGAAATGAGTCTTGAAGGTTAAACACTAAGAGGTTTGGGTTTTAGCTTGTGGATAATTGGGAACAATGATAGATTTTAAAAGAATGGCTTCACTGCATTTGCTTTAGAGAAAAATATTTTTAAGGTAATGTGGAGAATGAATTAATTGGAGAGGGGCAAGATGAGAGGCAGTTGTCCAGCTATTAACATACTAAGTTGTCTGCTTTCAGCACCTTTCAGTGATTGATTTTACCAATTAAATGGTAACTTCTTGGGAAAACCAACAAACCATAGAAATACTAAATTGAACATCAGTAGCTAAGAAATCAAAGAATAGTAAATCAGTTGCACAAAGCAAAATCTAGGACAGCTGTCTTGGCCTGCATTTATGATACTTCCACTTCTTAACTGGAATCCTTAAGCAAGTTATTAAATCTATTTTCTCCTTCAGTTTCCTCTTCAACCAATTGGGAATGATAGTAGTATGCAACTCAGGGTTAATGAGGATTAAGTAAGTGTGTGTGTGAACATTTGGATTGCAGTGCCTATAATTTTGAAAACAACTAGGGAAAATGTAGGAAGAATGAAAGAACTTAGCTGTTTTACTTTAACCCCCACAGCTAATAACGATTTCTTGTCACATAGCAGTTCTCATGTACCTAAGTACAAGCACTGTCATGTTTGCTTGTGGCCCTTAAAATAAAAAGTGCCATTTATTTTTATGGACTGGTTTCCTTTTTAAATTTATTAAATATTTATATTATAAAATCCATATAGTAATATGGTTAATTTAAAAAATCCATTTTTCCTGTTTTGATTCCTTAGCAGCATGAGATGTTGAATACAGAGTTTTATTTGAGTAAGCCCTTTCATCTGCCAGCTGATGTGAGCTTAGACAATTTTAAACCTTTGACCCTTGACATTTTTTATCTGTAAAAGTTGACTAGCAAGACCAACCTAGTAGTTTTTTCTGAAAATTAAGATAATGTATAATATGGTTTTTAATGCATCTTAAACCACTTCTAATTTGTTTTTTTCGCCTCATTTAGAGTTTTTTAAAAGGCTAAATTAATGGATGAAAATGAAAATGCTTTTTAAATTATGAAGTGATATACATATATCAGTTGTTATTACAGATTTCTAAGAATGAGTGCTATTTCTGTTGTAGAAATTCAACAGCCTCTAGGAGGTGGTTGATCAAGGGTCTACAAAATAAACACCTTTAATTTAATTATTGTCAAAACATATGAAAAATTTTGCAACATTACTTTGCTTTCGATTTAACAGTATTACTGTTAGCACTAATTTGAGAGTTATGAGACCATTTAAGGGAATTTCTGTAGTATCGGTATATAACAGTTTCTATCTCTTGGCTCCGTAGATCTTGATTGAATTAGAAACGGCGTTATTAGATGACGAGCCGCACTGGTACAAACTTCAGACTCATGACGTCTCGTCGTTGCCACTCCCCCGTCCTTCCCCACATATGCCACGGCGGCAGCTCCACGGAGAGAGCCCCACGCGGAGGTTGCAAAGTAAGTCTTCAGTAAAATTTGCCCTGTCTTTATTGGACAATCTCGAATGCTATATATGACATAAAATTTGAAGATACCACTTTGGGTATTAACATGTATTTTAGTGTTTTCATAGCTTTTATTGATGCTTTTAAATTGTTTGAGACGCTAAAATGAGGTCACACCTATAATATTCACTCATTATAGTATGACTCCAAATGAAACAGTTGTTTTTTACTTTTGGCTCTTAGAATCTTAAATATGTGAAAGAAATAAGTAATGTAGTAGAATTTGGCCATATAGCTATAGATACTTGAAATTACGATTTCCACCTTCAGTGTGCCAAGTATTTTATGAATATGTAAAATAGTAAGTATAGCATAGTGTTTGAAACCATGACTATGCACTTATTCAGGTGGCTCTGAGTTTAAATTTTGATTTTCTCATTTGAGAGCTGTATGACTTGAGGTAGATCATCTGTATTTCTTCATTTAAAAAATGCCTTCTTTACAGGATGATTATAAGAGTTAATGTCAGAAATATAAACTGATTTTATTGTTGTTATTGTTATTGTCAGTGTTGGCATTTTACTCTGAATTATACATAATCCAAATCATAAAACAGAATTAGAGCAATCCAGAGAATCTTAAAGGAAACTCAGAAGTGTTTTCCATTTGAACATTTTTGGCTTACTGCTCTTACAACTCAAGTTTCTTTCCCATGTGTCTGATATTGGAAGATGAGATGGGCACTTGTTGCTTTGGATAGTGATCATGGGATAATTTCATCGGCGCGGAGTCAGTCCATTCCAGGTTTAGCAACATCGTTGTCAAGTAGTGGAGAACTGATTGACATTAACCAGATTTCAGAAGTGTAAATTTATAAGTATGGATGTCATGCCATGTGTCAATCATGGGAAGTATACCTGCATGTAGCACATTGAGGACTAGATAGTTGAATAGAGGACTAAATTACACATCATTCAGCTATTAGACAAATAGAAAATTAGAGCAAAGAATTGTCTTCTTCCCTTTTAAAAATGTTCTTGCACATGACTAGGATTTTATTTTCATTAGATACAGTCTTTCACACTTGGATGGTATTAATGGAGCACTAATTTTACAGTGTTCATTTTTTTAGCCTCCTCACATAATAAACACCTACCCATGCTTATTTGCAATTGCCATTACAGCATCATTTGTTGTCATAATTTACTAATTATATTACCATAAATTTTATGTGTATTAATTTTACAGTGTCCAATCTTTTTGGACCCTGTACTCAGTACATTTGTCACTAAATCACAACATAGGATGATGGGTTACTATGTGAAAGCTACTAGTTAACTCATTGTGTACTAATTTTTATGGTTTAACTTTATAGGCTGCTTTGCTGGCCAACATTGCTCTTTCTTACAAGATTGGCCTTATATCCATTCCTTTAGCTGTTATTGCAGTAAAGAGTAGGCTTGATGACTCTCACTATCTGATACTTAAGTCTGCCAACAGTTTTCATTATTTTTTCCTTCCTAGCTAATTAAGAATAGTGTATGTAAGGAACAATGAGAAGAGAGTACTTTCCAGGTAGCTGTATGTATTATGGATTCACATGCAATTAATTCAGTCATTTTGCAACTTTTAACATTTTCCATTCTCAAATGGCTATTGTTATTTAATCATTAATAATAGCTTTATGTTATACAATATCAGAATAAAATTAATTCTCAGTGTTTGAACATATGGCTAAATTTGGTGTTTTACATCTAAAATGTTATTATAATTTATTAGCTGTGTAGATCTGAAGATAGGTAAAAATAGGTACATAAGCATAAGAGAAACAAAGATTAGGAAATAATACTTAGGAATAGTCAAATGAAGGACATTACCATTGGCTAAGGATATAACAGTCATCAATGATAGATTCAGTTAGAGTATGAATAAAGAAATATATTAATTATTTTAAAGATTTACTGATGACAGAAACCTTTTCTATGGTTTTTCTTTATATAAAGAGTAAAATACTATATTTACTTATAAATATGTTTTGTATTGTCAAAGGTGATGGTTAACTTATTTGATGGTATATAATGTCTGATAAGTTTTTAAATGTGTAATAGTCCCATATGTATTCCTTAAATCCACATGTTTTAGTAATTTAATCTTTGAGGCTGAGAATGTCATTATGAGACTATGACTCTTTTTAATGTACTTGATATTTACTGATATTTAAAGTGAATAAATGGCAATGAAGGAATTCTGCTATTTCCACTCATGGTTTCCTATTTTAAATTTGTAGAATCGAATAATTCAAAGCAGTATTTCATTTACATGGACATTAATAATTTATAAGTTTCTTATCATGAGGAAATATATTAAAACCATTCTAAAAATAATTGTTTCATGTAAATATTTTTTAAAAATCCTTTTGAGATGGAAGTTCAGACAACTTTGATTATAAACTTTGAATTATTCCCCACATAAAGGGATAGATAAAGTGTTTGAAATACATGACTTCTTACAGTGTTATTTCTGCATGTAGTGAAATAAGAAGGTTTATGTATTTAAACATCTCTAGAAATGGTCATATTCTCACTACTCCAAAGTCTGAAAGAAATTAGATGAGAAGAATTCAAAATTTTGGTGAGGAAGTAACATTTCCTACACTTTTCTTCAAGCTACTCTTGCTTGCTTCCATCCCTGATGTTCTTTTGATATTACCGAAGGAATGAAGGAATAGTGCCTATTTTGGAAAATGTATAAGGGAGACTGGAGCTAATTAAATGCATCAAAGAGAAGTAAAGGCTGCTTTTAAAGATTGCAAAATATCTTCCATTTTTACATAATTTTATTTTTGATTCAGTGATGAGCAATTTTATTCATTAATCTTACAGAAACACTGATTATTTTGGAAAGTGTAGGTTTTGTTTTATATTCTTTACTCTTTTCATTTAAAGTTGTATAGTGTCCTAAGGAGAAGATCTTTTCTTAACATAACTGAACTTATTTGTAAATTTATTACCTGATATTAATTATTGTCATAACATTTGAACTAGAAAGGTTCAGCCAGAGATTTCTTTCATTTCATCCTTCAGTTTTTCTTTGTCTCATATCAACCAGATTCATCTTCTTAAATTCTCAGATGTTAATTCTTAGTAAAATTTAACATTATCACCCTTTCACTTTTTAAAATAGAAAACATTCTGACTACTATATTTTCATTCAACCCCTTGACTACAAAGAAAAGTGAATTGAAACAAATGATTGAGACAAAACCAAAATGATGCTGGTGAGAGAGGTGTAAGATACAAGCTACATGATTTCATAGTACAGTTTTCTTAGGGTTTCAGGTATGTGGGGGAATTTCTGGCCAACATTTCTTCTAATTCTCTACCTAATTGACTTCTTTTTTTCTAGGATAACACTTATATATACACATACATACCTCTCGACATTGTTCCACAGGTTACTGAGTCTCTGTTTATTTTTTTAATTCTTTTTTTGTCTTCAGTTTTAATTATTATATTTATTCATCTCTCTTCAAGTTGACAGATATTTTCTCTGACATTGTCCAATTTTCTATAAAAACATTCTATGAATTAGATTATTAAGTAAACTATATTTTTTCATTTTAGGTATTATATTTGGTGTTTTTTCTTGTTTATGTTTTTTTTAAAATATTTGGTTTTCTTAGAAGTTTCTATATTCTTTCTGAAATTACCATTTTTATTATATATCTGTGTGTATGCATACATATACATTTTAGATACATTAAATGTATAATATACATTGTATATATGAGATATGTACATTGTCCTGTAAACTCTTTATATATTGATAGTATTTATTTTGAAGTCTGCTAATTCCAACATTTTAGTCTTCTGTGGCTCTACTTATATTTCTCTTTCCTTCCTTTGAATATCACATACACATATATGTTATACATCTACTAATTTTTATTTTGTATTGGACATTGTATTTAATACATTTTAGAGATTCTATTGTACATTTTGAAGAATGTTTTGTTTTATTTTAACAAACAGTGAAATTACTAAAGGACCACCTAAAATCGAAGAAACATATGTTAGGGCGGCTATGTTTTTGTTCTTTCCTTAGTTCTAAGGCATAATCCTTAATACGGTTTGTGGTTCTTATTTCTAAGGTATGAACTTCCTGTGTGAAGTCTAATATGTTGGCCAAAATTCTATAATATAGGGGGACTTAAACTCCAAACTGTGTATCCTGTGTATCGGGAAGTTGTTGAAATACCCTTGCAGATCTTTTCGCCTTTCAACTATTGGCTTTCTACTGGGTGGGTTTCCTCTGCAGTTCACCATTCAGGCAAAAATTTGAGGGGCCATTGTCTGTAAGTTTTGGGTCCCTTCTTTTCTGGCTCCCTCCTTTCTAGTATTTGCCCCACAATTCTAGCTGTTCTGACAACTCTGAACTCTGAACTGTGGTTCCTCAGCCTGGTAAGACAGAGGCTTTTTGCTTGAATTGTAACTCTCCTGTGGTGAACCAAACTGGGATGACCATTAGAGGAAATACTAGTTAAAATATATACATTCCTTATTTCAAAGCTCATATCACCAATATTTGCCTACATTTGTTTGTTCTGTGGTATCTTTAAACAGCTTTTTATTGAAATATTTTGTCCAGAATTAATAATTATTACTGACAGGAGAGTCAGTTGGTTTAGACTATCAATTTCAGAAGCAGAGGGTGCAGTGTTATCTCATTGCGGATTTAATTAGAATTTCTCTAATAATTTTTTCTAGTAATCTCTTCATAGGTTAATTGACTACTTCTATATTATTTTCTTTTACAGAGAGCTTAGTCACATTTCTTGCCAACTTTTCTTTTGTGTTCTGTCTTTTTAATTGATTTATGAGCATTTTCATTTTTTAATTACAGATTTCAAATCTTTATAAGATAAATGTATTGTAGATATATTCTCTATAGCTAGCCTTTTCAGTCTTTAATGGGATTTTTAATCAACAAAAGTTTTTAATTTTAATGTATTTT